AGGGCAATTGTTAGCCAATTTTTGGAGGCGTTCCTAATTTAAGGACCTCTTAGCACAGGAGTAGTAGAGCGCGTGTGTTTATCTATGAATGACAAATCCACTGAAAACTTTGCCGTTAGAGTTGAGCCGAGTTAAGTTAGGTTCAGAGCAAACTGCTTGTTTACTGATATGGGGAAAGGGTGCACATAATGCATTGCTGTTTATTAAAAGGTGTCCATTAACGTTCCCGAGACATTTGTCAGCCTTTAGTAAAACGGGGTCAAGGTTTATATAAAAGAATTCATGGTTTTAAGATAGGCGTGATAACAGTCAGTGCCTGACATTTCCACATGTGGGAGATGTAACAGATAAACTTATTATTTTCTCTCGGCCTTCAATTCGTGCAATCGGTTTTGTTTTCTTTTCTCTTACAAGCCTATTCTCCATTTACGAGATGTTTTTAATCGATTTTGCAATGAAAGGGTTCTGTGTTCTTATGTTAAGTGATCTGGTATACACTACTCGTCACTTTAGGGTTTGTTTGCTTTTCATTCTCTCGAGCCTTTTTGTGACGGTGGCTTCCTGGCCATTGACTGAAATATTACAGGAGATTGTGGCTCATTTAGGTACACTTGGAATCATGAAAGACAAACAAGTCAAGTCTGAAACCGTTAACACGAATTGACGGAAACGCAGAAACGTCGCCCAAAGCGATTTGAATATTAGATGTTCATAATTGCGCAGAATGACTCTCTTGAAGTATCAAAACATGGATGACGACCAGTACTTAGGGTTTGTTCTTTGTTCTGTAAAACTCGATCACCAGGTTTAAGGGACAAATTTGTCAAATCCAAGTGGTAAAAATCAACTAAAGATCAGAAAAACAGTGAACTCTGGACTTGCAGACCACAAGATTTTGAACGATGGAATATTTATGAGAGATTGTTATAAATGTAAGTTGTTGAGTCACGAACGGAAAACACACTCTTTAGCTACATGGTGTCGACTGATAAATCTACCTGGGTTAAAATATCGTCCTTGATTTATTTAGTTGTGCCTAAAATGGCCAATAAAAGTTCATATTCCTGGGCTAATTTGCTTTAAGGAGCACTTCAACGTGAAGTTGTTGAGCTCAGTGGACCGAAAACGGAAAGAGATGTCAACTGTTGCCCAATATTAGGCACGCTACATTAGTTTTGAAAGGGAAATGACGCCGTCTAGTCCTCGATATCCTAAGCTTGATTAACGATTATTTAGCTAATGGATGTGTATTTGAAAGAAAAGTGTGTTTCGTGTCCTGGGGCTGTGGCACAGATAGCGTTTTTGTCCAGCATACATTAATAACTTTGATTTGCGGCACGAAAGCCCATAAAAAGTCACGCGAGGTGCGACTGTGATTTTCGCTGGTTGAAATGAGTTTGGGGTTTCTGGAAGATTAAAAAACGTGTTCTGAGGCCGGATGTGAGACAAAGCATTCATAGAAGGAAGGAAGAATTTGATCGTTTCTCGTCATTGACCTCTTTGAGCGTGGACATCGGCACGTGCTTCGGAATTACTCTTCTTGTATAAAAACATTCATTTCTAACTTTCCACGTTTAAAGACTCAGCAGGCTTTATATTTATTAAGGGCTTTACTTGCATGGAGTTTCTCGTAGATGTTTTTCTCAATTGTCATAAGAAATGAATACTCATTGAATGAAATAGAGCAGTCATCTAGCGTGTTTACAGGGTAAATGACGATAGCCATCTTGACGACAAGTAGGTGGAAAAGGCGGAGTTATTTACTTCTGAGACAAAGATGAGTTTCATTGATAACATGATTCAGGTCAGATAATCAGAAGTGGGCTTAAAGAAGTGTGGAACGGAATAAGGCAAACGATGGCTGTGGAGAATCGTTTATTGCTTTGAGAACATGTATTAAATTAATATTTTGAGTGGTCTTCGTGGTTCCCTAAAAGGTGGTATCTCGACTTCCTCTGAGGAAAGTTGTTGATGTAAACGCCAAGGTTATTTCCGTGACCTTTTGTCTTGAAGCTTTGTAGTTGAAAATATTCACAATTATTTAAACCAAAGCACAAAAAATAAAATAACATTGAAATCCTAAACGTTCTAGCGAGTCTCAGTCGATGTTGAAATCGCTGGTCAAATTCATGTTTCCATTGATGAAAATTTTAAACACTTTTGTAGTTTCAAAGCGTTCAGTCCACGATAGTGACATTTTTGTCTTCTTGTCTGCTCCTCGTCACTTTTGTTTATCCTTACCAAATGAGTCCGGATGAATAGACAATACTAAAGTAAAGCCTTATCTGACCCCTGCCAAACTACTTAACGACCCTTTAAGGGGGTTTGGGGAGACAGCACTTCCTGTGATGACAAACAAAGAACAGGCAAGGGTCTGGTGTTTGGGTAAAAGAGAACACCCTGTCGAGCAAGTCGCGGACAAACAATGTGTTTTAAGAGCTGACCGATCTAATTTTGATTGGGATTTAATTAGAAGACTTTGTCTTTAATTACAGTACCGTTTCTAAGGCGGGATCCTATTGATGCTATAGATTCTAGATTGCGTTTTCTTGCGGACGTACGCATAATCCGGGTGGGAAAATAGACAGCTACCTTCTGGTGTGGGAATTTCACGTTTTGATATTCTTGACTTAGTGTAAAAAAAGGAAAAATGAGAATTAAACGAAACCAAAGAAGGCAGGGATTTCAAAACATCTTCGGACGCTGCCATAATAACCCTTTGAATTTTTTTGGTTTAATTTGGCCGTTGACTAGTGTAAGCAAGTTGCTTAGCCGTCATTGTGTTATATAGTAAGCGCCTTAACGATTGCCTTTCAGTAAATCTGCCACGGTTAAAATAGTTTCTTTCTTCCGTCTTATTTCTGAGAACTTCCCTTACTTTGGTGCCAAGTCAAAATACATGTAACAATGAAGTGCTCGAATTTGGCAGCTGAGTTGTACTTTGTACATTGCTGAGAGCTTGATTGTTGTGAAGAGTTTTTGACGATAGCATGGTATCATGCCAAGTAGCTTTGATGAGGATTATCTCTCTGACAGACAAAAATAACAGATTCGAAGACGACGTTGTCAATCTTCACCACAAGCAGAATTAAGCCCTCTTTGGTTCATGGCAGGTTGATTTCGCAGCTGTTTTTATTCACGCACAACCATCACTTCAAATGTTTAATTCTCTCTTTCAATCATAAAAACTAAATAAACATGTTAGGTTTTCTTACTCAAACTCAGCCGTTTTAAAATTTTGATCGTTTCAACTTTTACAATGGCGCAGGCTCTCTGCAGTCAATTTCTTTACTGAATTACAGAATTTTCCTGCTAATGAAACGTTACATTCTCGATAAAGGATCTGACTGTCGAAGGGAGAAGACATCGGGGCGGTTTGTTCGATGTATATGCGAATGGTAGGTCAACTTGTTAAATTGGTTCAACATTTTTTGGGAGCTTTTAAAGCCCTATAAGTATAACCCACATATCCTATTTTTATATTTAGGATTTCGCGATTGTGCTATTCACATCACTGGAAGTACAATGCCTTGGCTAGTGATCATAAAAGTGGTACATTTCCTACAATACGTCATTCCCAACGTCTGAAGTAGTAGCGACGGCAATTTTGCTTTTCTATATCGGTCAAGTTATTGCGCCCGCGGGAAAGCGGGGCGGCCCTTTCCACGATCTAAGAGGCATGATTTAATAAGCGTGGCACAAGGACCCAAGGGCCTTCTTAGTATTTAAAGTTAGTTGTGGAAGTGGCCGGTTTGATGCTTGACGTTTGTTTATTCATAACAGCCTTCACTTTAAACCTCTTGTTGAGCATAAGATGAGTGTGGGAAAAATAACTTTTGAAAAGTCGCATGAATAAAGCGGAGGTTATTGTCACTGTGATATTGTGTTCCCACTTCCAAGAAAACAGAAGCCCTGTAATTCCCTCTCAACACTCAGCATTGGTTGTAAAACATGATGTATGACTAGTACTCTCAGTGAAAGCTGGGGCCCTTTTAAGTAGTTTACTCAGGCTTTAATTATATCTTCTCGAAGTGTCAACTGAACTTTCATAGCTTGAATTTATGTATGCTGAGAACATTAAATCATCCAGTCACATTGATTAGCTTGTGTGTTTTGTAATTTACCTCCCGATTTATCGTGCTGACTCGATAAAACTTGGATTAGTTATTGTAAAATAACATTTTCTGCTTTAAAAGATAAACGGAGACGTTAGGATATAGATTGCAAACAAATAAAAGTTTAAATATCAAACTTTACTTTGCTGCCGGTTTTTCAAAGGTTTGTGAACAGCATGATATACCTTTTTTACTGGCACGGAGATCACTGGGAGTGATTAGAATTAAATATTTCGCACAATTCACCATGTCACATCCACATTTTAACAACCATGAGTCCTCGCTTAGCTAAAGATGGTTATTTATTCCCTATGAAGTCATTAAGTGCTTTCACTAACACTTTTCCATTTTGCCCTAACCTATCTTGGCAGAAAATGCTTTTTTCTCACTCAGCTGTTTTGTTTACCTCGAAATCGCGTGACAACCAAGGGGATAGCGTGCGCTGAATTCTTTGCAAAGCCGATATAAACAGTCTCCTGTGTACTACTTAACTGAATACGAATCGTTAATTTGTTTACTAGTTGGCGAGCGTTGTTTCCGTGACTTGCCTATATTTTCACTCGCGCGGCCAAGTGCGAGCGGAATGGAATACTATCGTAAGGAAATGGGTGCGTGTACAATCTCAGGCTCGTGTTATGTCCAGTGTGTGCTACGTTGAATTATATTATTTCAAAGTTCTTGTGGCACTAATTCGTTTCCTTAGTTTCTTCAGGAGAACGTAGTCGTGAGAACGTAACTGTGGATGTAACGTCTGAGTTTTCTCACTATAGTTGGCATTTGTTTTGTATTGTCAGTTGGTATGCTGGCATCATAGTGACGAGTCTTTAAATTCCACAGCTGTTTCCATTTAATTGCCATAAGACCTGCCCCATTTGGTTTATTTGTAGAAGCGAAGCCACTTCTGCCGTGAAATCAAACAAGTGGCAATATGTCATTAAGGGTACCTGTAGTAATGTAGCGTTGGTGGTAACCTCAAACAAGAACTAAAAATTGATGGGCTATCTTGATCTTTATAGAATGTTTGTGGGAGATAGAAACTCAAAATTCAGAGATCCAATTTTTTCTTTAAAATGCTTGCTTTTGGTAGTTTCTTGCTGCTCGACTTAGTTTTCAAAAATTTTTAAGTTTGTATTTAACATGTGCAGTAGATAATTCAACCATGTGCAGTTTGCGTTGTCGACAAATCTTTAATTTGCGCACAGAATATCTGTTGCGCAGTTACAACTACTTGGCCATCAATAGTACTGTGCCTAGTTCAGTGGAAGACCGTGACAGTAGATTTTCGGAGCATCCTTTCAGGTTTTGGTAAACATCGTTTCAATCTTGGTGCTATTGATCTTAAACGTTTTAAGGGTTTGACAGTTATTACTTAAGAGACATTTTTCTCGTATTGGAATTTAAAAGTGTAGCCAAATTATCTGGATTATAGGGGCGACTGAAATTCGAATGAGGACGGTTCATGTAATCTTCTTATTGGTGGAATTCTTGTTAATAAATCTAATGAGCCCTGCCCAGACGCTTCCTCTAAGTTACTGATGTACATTTCATTATCCCGTACTTCAGCGAGATTTCTTGCCATGACGAATGTCAAATGTCATGCGGCCTTTATAAGTTATCCAACAAACGTGTGATCATATGTTGGAATATTGATTCAAATATTTTTCACCTGTGTTTCATTGACTAACAGTAGAGCCACATAAACAACAGTGCAAAAATCGAACTCAGTCAGAAGTCTCACAAGGGAAATAGACGCAAAAGGGAAAATGAGTGAAAAAATGCAAAACAAACAAAAAAAAACTTGGTTAGCTGAAGTAATCTTTCCCGCCAACAAAAATTTTTATGCTTTGGTGCTCTACGAATCCTGTGGAATCAAGATGCGAAAGCATTTCTGCAGAAAAGCTGAATGCAAAACAATGTAGTAGAATCAATAGTTTGGTTATTCGATTTGATTCGCTGATATAGAGGCAGCTTAGTGAGAGTACCTTCATTAAAACAAAGCTGCAGTAAAAGGAGATTCCAAACCATAAATGAACCAGATCAGAGCCAGGTGGCAACACTTACAGTAGGTTTTTCAACATTACTTGTGTGATCAGATATTGTTGTTTCCGGAGGGTTAGAATGTATGGAATCCCTCAGTTAAACTCCTGGTTACGACAATCATTCGCAGTTGTGCTTTCCTTCTCTTATTGTAGTCAAATCTTATTATTCTAGGTTGGCTGGGAAGCGTGGGGAGTAGAAATTGTACAATTACATGCATCGTACATTTATGTGAAACTGGAGCGAATTGTATTTCAACTTTCCCTGCAGTTCTTCAGTACTTTTACATGTATTGACAAGTAAACTGATCAGAGACACTAAACACGAACATTTTCAGAGAGCTTTACTTTCCGGTTGTTCGGAAACTTGGTAATAAATCCACCAAGATTAAGATGACATTGCAAAATTCCTCAGACAATGGCGTGGAACGTTGATTAAATGGAATGTTGTGAAACCTTTTTTTAAATATAAAACAGTCTTATTTTGCATTGTATTCGAGAGTCGTTTTGTACAAATCTAATTTTGTTTATGTTTATTTATACATTTGATTAATTATATGTGAGCAAGCTTTAGCCAAATGATGCTGGAACGCAAGCAATACATCTTTGTTTTTTTTATGATTAAAGAACAAACCTACAGTTGTAAGTGATAGCGTATCAAGGCTTTGTTGGCCCTTAAATCTTCAAGTTGTGCCATGGGCTCTTTTTCTGATGTACTAGACTGAAGAGGTTAGTTCTAAGCAGATAGCCTCCAGCTGTGCGTTTGACAGCTATCAATGCCAATCAGGGCATAATTCCATATATCAACTATATCTCCGTGCAACAACTGAGATTTCGATGCTAGTCACGGAACGTGCCTCGCGATTCTTGCATAAATTGTCTCTAAACGAGCAGAACTGCCTCCCTATCTAAGGGATCCTACTGATGTATTAACCTTATCACAACATAATCGACACAAGTTGTGATTGTTTTTTATGCTTATATGATCTTGTGGTTCATTTAATCTCTCTTGAATCTTATGTTTATTGACACAAAGACATGCCATATATTTCCTTTTGAATATAGTTGATATCAATTGAGCATTACTGTTCGTTTTTTATTGTCTTTTGATATCCTTACCTTCGGTGTTAAAACAACGCTTACATTTGTATTTGAACATTCAGCTCTCATCAACTTTCCCGATGAATTTTCTTCAAAAGCTATATTGCACGATATTACTGTCACAGAAAGTGCTACTTATAGTTCAAGCCTGTATTAATACACTTATTCGTTAATTGTTTTTTCCATTCACGGAAATAGTTTCTCGACACCTCTCTCTATAAACTAGGGTAAAATTGCTCTGTTTTATGGACTGGCAAGAGAAAGAAGAACGTATCTATTTTTAATCGAAGTAATCCTTTGTCGCTAAGAATATTCTTCCGGTTTCGAACTGAAATGATCATTTTTGGAGCTTTGATTTCAGTGGCTACTTTTTTATAGAAATGACTTCAGATCTGTATTTTTCTCCAAGTTAAATTATCTGGATTATGATTTATTCGAGTAAAAGCGAACTTTGAGCTCAGAAAAAGGTAACCAGTGGGCGTTGATGATACGTCTCCATACATCAAATGGTCACATCCCACTCGCGACATCCTGTTCACTTCTTAAATATTTTCCAGTCAAAGATTCACATATCATATATGTGTATATATATGTATATATATATAATGTAATTTGTGCAGCACTTGTATTAGATATAAAACAAAAAAAATGTATATTGTGGAACGAAGTCGATGGAAAGATTGTTGCTCCTGAGTACATTTGCGTCACACTGATTTCCTTCGTCTTTGATCCATTCCACCGCGTTTCAGCTCCCATTTTGTCGTTTTATATTTAATGTTGACGTCGTATTTGCTGAAAATTGACGCTGATGACAATGAAAAAACAATACGTTTTGGATAATTAAAATTGAAAAAAAAAAAGAATACAGAAAAACACACGGAAGGGAAAGAAAAAATTTGGATTCATTCATGAAATGGAATCATTGAAGTAACAACTGACTCACTTCGTTTTCCGGAAGTAATTCTAGAGACTCGGCCATACAAGTTGGTTCTTCCTGTTGATATTGAAAAAAATTGGCGTCATTATGATCCCACTGAAATATGATGACAGTGTGCAGAGGATGAGGGTGACAATGTTACTCCTGGAGAGTTTTGGTTAAGCAAGCTCACGCAATTCGTTTTGAGTTCGAATTATTTGCAGAGCGTTATGGCGTTGCGCAGAATCCCTTCTTAACAACGGGGTTTTAACTCACAAGTTAAATGTTTTTTCCATTTCTCCTTTTGTTTTCTTGAATGAGTATGCAGTTCTTATTAACGAGAGTAAAGTTCGTCGTAGATCATTAATATAAAAGGGTACAGTTAGAAATTTTGATATAATTCTGATAAACCACACTTAAGACCCTTATTAGTACCAGTCACCACGGCAAACATGCAATAGCTTTGTTTACAGGAATGCCCACTTCTTCAAATTAAAGAAAGAATCCGATTAACTTAAGTGCCTACCCGCAATTAATTTTCATTTGTAATAAGTCATTTGTCATTGAACTGAAAAGACTCTGAAAGCTGTACACCAGGCAGTCACCCCTAGTTTGTAACTAGTAAATTGTAAAATACGCAATAAAGATACAGTGCTTTTTGTTGAAATCTCTGTAACGATTTTCTATTTTAAGCAGTGAAAACTGAATAAGATGAAAAGTTAGCATTGTCGACCATCCATTGTTATTACTAGCTTTGTTATTCCTAGCTGTACTTTGCAAAATTTCGTGTTAGACCAAAACTTGTTTTCGTGACTTTTGCTCTCGCGTGAGTTTGTCAGAAGCCTTTGACGTCAAGCTTGTCGCCACACCGGACCTTAGTGGCGTAATATTGGTCCTTTTGGTAGCATTTTGCTTCTGACGTCCGCAGCAGCCCGTGACAGTTTCCCTTTTAGTAATGAAACCTATTTAAAGCATAAGAAAAATCACGAAACTCCTTTTTCATTTCTTTGTCTCTGTCTGATAGTTTAATCGTACATGGCATCATACTGTTGTAATATTGCTTCCTAAGTTAGTTGTGCGTAGTCTTTTAAGGTTAGAGAAAGGACGATGCCTCACATCTCAAACTGTCAACAAGTATATGCTCCAAATGCTTCATTTGCGTTGCCGTGAGTTGCTGCACGTTCTAAGCGAAATTCTTTTCATTCCTTTGCGGAAGATATTCATGTTTGGAATTAATTGCTATTTGATGATTATTTTTTTGATTATTTAGATCCCACACAAAATCAGCGGACCAGAAACCAAAACTAAAGAACATTTAGAACTATGCTTTCAAGAGCTTTCCCTGATCACTTTAACGACGAGGTCTTTCATTAGTGGTTTTGAAGAACGGATATAATATCTGTAATAGCTTGGGTTGATGCCTCCATACTGTAATTATGTCAACTCACGGTAGCTTTTCCATGGTGGCAGTAATTCCCTTACCTTCACACTCTTCATCTTACCAAATTGTTCGCAACACTACCCAATGGAAAACCAAAGAAACAGTTTTAAGCATGAAGAAAATGAAAATTATATACATTTTTTGATGTCTGTCACTATAGTCTTAATTACAGTGCTTGGTTATCTTATGACCACCACTGGATTAAAAATACGTTTTAGTTTCTAGGGGTTCTAACAGGGTTAATGGACTGGTAACGAGTCATGAAGAGGATTCCCAAGTCCACTTAATTATTTAGAACAGGAGCATATGTACTCCTGTTTTCAGATAGAAAAACGAACTAAACAAGGTTTCTTAATGTAAGATAGTGTCTTGGTGTCTGCTTTTTTTCTTAGCGAGAAATTCTCAATGGTTTACTTCACTGCTGAGGGAGTCTCACATTATCACTGAAATACTTTTGAAATAGCAGGAGTTTGCATAACGCGAAGATGAGAAAGTTGAAGGATTAGTTTGTTTTAGCTGTAATGCAATCTTGGGATGTTTATGTTTTAAAGGAGTTTGGCCTCTGACTCTCCTGAAGCACAGTCGTGGTCCATTTGAAAATGCTTATTTGTTTGATACGAGGAATCGTTCCAATCGAAAACACTAAACTTTTGGCGACTACAAGAGTATAAAAAATGTATGCTCATTTGTCGTCAACAACTGGTATTAGAATTAAGTTACTTAACAAATTCCCCTTCCCCCTCCAAACGAATCGTCAAATATCTGGGTACACGGGCCAAAATAGAGTTACTATATGAAGTGCTCAGCTGAACTGGTTCGTTGGAAAGAAATAGAAAATTACACATCGATTTGATTTTGAGAGGAATCGTTTAATTTCTGCAGTCGACGTAGGAAAGGGGCCTTTTCTTCAAGCCGTGATATCACTGAATCGAGTTCAGAGAAGAGCAGCAAACATCACTCGCCAAATTTTACTGTTATTATCGTGGATTTTTACGGGCTTTTATATGGGTAGTTAATTGATAATTCAGTGAGGTTTCACGTTAAATGATTAATGTAGAAATAGAGTGGTGTAGGCGATTGCTGTAATTTGACCGTGTGAACGCAATTTTGAGTACCCAATTAACACTGGGGAGTTAAAATTTTAGGTTTTGCCGGAGTGAAGCCGATATAGTTTCAGAAGTAAAATGTGACGCATTGTTTAAAGGCAACTTCGAAATAGCGTTAAACTGTTATTAGAACGAGCAATGTTTACTTTATCATAGTTGGATATAGAAAATATGTCATACAAATTTTTATCTTGGATTGTAAGTTCCGTAACTGGCATCATTTGCTTTAGTATTTAAGTAGCTCTTGACCTCACTTTTAATCGATTCATAATCTTCCGTCCATCGCCAAGTGAGTAATATCAACACGCTTCATAAACAAAGCATGAGGGTTTTGCAGAAAGCCTCTATTTCGCCTTTAAGGTAAAGGAACAGTGATTCTTTAGCGTCATGATCCTGTTGCTGTCTGAAACTGACGCTTTACAATTTTCATGAAGAGGACAGCTCTGTGTTAAATATCACGATTGGGTCATTATATTTTGAACTTATTATCGAAGGCGAATTGCGTGCTATAGAAAGCGGGACTACAACAATCAAAACAAACGACGCACGCAATCATAGGAACGGAAAGAAGTAGGCTTCTTCAATATAGCTTTCGTGCCATGACTTTGTACAATTCACATTCCATCAGCTTGTTCTAGAAGGAGCCTATGGCCATGAATAACGTGTTTATTACTAGAATTAGATCGAGAACGCGATATCTGAATAACACAAAATATGTTTTCATATTATATTTATGGAAAAATCCCCTTTTGTAATGACGAAGTCTTGTTTCGTGTTTACGTAAAGTAAGAGAGATATTAAACGCGCTCAGTCAGTCTAGGAGGCGTCAGGCTCAAAGTATGATAATAAATCTTCTTCAAAACAACTTAAAATGACGTAAACTCTCAGTGAACTGCCTGATATTTCAAGAATTCGTGTCCGCTGTTTACTGCTTAAAGCATAGGCTGGATGATAGTTTAAGCCCGTCTGCATTCTCCACTCAATACGGGTTTATCTCAAAAATATATGTGTGGCACGATATAACTTCTAAAAAAGATTGTTTTTCAACCTTCCTATATTACCTATCGTCCAAGAACAATACTTGGTCAAAGCCTATTTTTATTTGTCGTCTGTACGATGCGATAGATTCAATGAATAAAGAATACATAATAAACTGTTAAGGACCCACAGAAAACTAATCAAATGTGGCCGTTTTATTTTGCCACAAATGGTCTCATTTAAGTGCCTACTTGTGCCTCTCAACACTGTCTCAATAAATTTAGGCACTACAAATTAAAAATAAACGCAGCCAAGAGTGAAGTGTCCTGTATTGGCAGATGTTTTTCTATTGCACGCGCGTACCAATACATTACAATTGGTCAGGGTTAAAGCATTTGTGTTTCGCGCTGACGTATTTTGGTGCCTGTAACACTTGACACGCGAACCCAAACAACATTATTGCGAAACTCCATACCAATGAAATTAAACTTGATTTGATCAGATCGATGGGCCTGGTCACTAAGTTCTAATTTTATTATTGATGCTATTCTGGTATTCCCGTTTTTCTTTTTATTTCGTCGACTTAATGATAGCATTTGTATAAATTGCTTGCTTGTCTGACGTAAAACACGATTGGTTGGTTATTTCTGCGCAGTTTTTATTTAAAACGGTTTTACTGATTGTCAGTACAGTGCTAGAATTAATCAAAAGTATGTCTGTTATTCTTGTCCACCAAAATGAAGCAAAATATTTCAGCTTGCACCAGCAATATCAGTTTTTTTCGCCCGTCTATCCACACTACGGCGCTTGCATATCTTTTTGCACACTTTTCCGCCTGCCTTCCATTTCTACTGACCTCTGAAAAACACAGTGATGGTAGCGACGTGAAAATTATGAGGCTTTTGTTTTTCACCTAGAAATGGAGTGTTGCCAAAAGGATACGTTTCCAAAATTATTATATTGGAAAACTTCGTTTTCATCAAAGCGTACGAGCGTTGTAGTTTGGACGGTGGACGGAAGCGCATAAAAACACTCGTTTTTTAACCAAAATTGATCTGTGTAGACCGAAGCTGAGGATGGTTTTGATATTAAATTAGCTTAAATCGTTCCTCAAATAATGACACCTTGACTTTTTGATGGAAATAATTTTTTAATTTCAATTAATGGAGGGGTTTGTTGTTTTCTAATTCTTTTCGATTGTTATGCCAGTTACAGCTTTGATTACTGAAACCTTTTCTTGAAATGGTAGATTATTTCTTTTTGGCTAATTCAAAAACACTGTTTGATACTCAGTCAATTACCTCTCCCCCCTCCATCCCAAGAAGAGAAAATGAATAGGATATCTCCTCACCGTTCCAATGTCTTCACTGGAGTTACAGATGTGAAAAGAAGTAGATACTTGATCTTTAATTTCAAAAATATTTAGTGCAATCTGCTGTCAAACACATCACCGACTTAAGTAACCTTTTCCTCAAGTCTGATTAATGAAGTGGTATTTAATTTACTATGGGCTCTGGCCATTTTGGGCGTGGCAAAAATTGAATTTACTGCTTGTCAAGATGCTTTTCCCTTGAAATCCCATCAATTAGCATTGCATGATACAGTTCCAACCACTTGTCCCTAGAATCTTAAATTGGATCAATTCACAATTCTTTGAAGGACAATGCGGATGGGGGCGACTACTAACGACGATGAAGGAGTATAATAAATCAGAGGAATGTCAAGGAAAAGAGAGGTTCCTTAAACTATGGCACGCTTTGAGCTTCGAAGAACAAGGCAAATAAAGCTCGAGAATTATGGTAGGTAATATTTATTCTTTCGTTAAGAGTTTTTCAACTTCCTTTAACGGTTTTAGAGTGTTTGTGATAGTGCGTAAGCAGCTCATAGTCTTATTTTTAAGAACGAAAAAAACTTTGCCTCTAAGTGAATCATTCAGTCAGTATGTGATTACGTCAGTTTTAAAACGGCAAGGTAGCGAGTGTGTGTAAATGGACAAGTTGTATAAACTTGCTTTTCCGTTCAAAGTAGCACGGGGCCCAATTACCTATGTCCCAGTATTCGTTTTTATTATTTTGCGTTGCGACTTTAATTACCTTCACGAATTAGGTTTCAATTAACCTCACCACACTTTTCCTATAGTCCATAGTTTACGTTGGGGCATTAGATGAATGACTAACTAGTTCACCCGATTCCCCACGTTTCTCTAACAGTTCTAGGGTGTCGCTCAGCCTCAGGCGGCCGCTATTCTTTGTTATTCTCCCCTTCGTTTGTCTGCGCGCCTTATCTTGTAGTTTATTGCAGGAATGACTTGAAAGGCCTTGATAATCTCGACATGTGCCTAAATCATTTCAGTATCACCTTTTTGGGGGCTTTTCTGGTAATTGAAAGGTCTTCGGATGTCGGCTTATCTTTTTTCTCTTTTTATTTCAAAATATCTCTCTCTGTAGTAGATGTCTTGCTACTTTCGGAAACATTTCGTCGTAGCCTTGTTAGCTGTCAGTATCCACGATTTTCATTGATATAAAAATATCGAGGTTACCCAGGAATACGGGTACAAGTCTAATTTTTGTGCTGAGGGTAAGGTTCCTATTATTTCAGCCGGCTTCAAGAGAGCAGTTTTTTAACTGTGCAGCCTTGAAGAGCTTTAGGCTTTTATCCCTCATCAAAATTCATTATGCTAGATGTTTAAAACTGCACAGATTCTAGTCTCTACATACATTTGTGTTAGTGCTAATGTCTAGTGGCTGGTTTTGTCGTCGTTTCCATCTATTTGTGTGCCGTATGTATGCTTTAGAGGTCGAGGCTTTTCATTAACCCGACGAACTCTCTTTCCTGCCTTGTCAACGGCAAGATGCAAGTTGGTTATTTTCCTTATTCCAATGTCTGTTATTCTTTTATGGTCTTCTATTGCAACAGTAATGATTCTCTTCGGGAAAACGTTAAAGATAGTGGGCGTGATTTTAACAGGTTTGCGCCGAAATAATAATAATTACTGATCGTCATCCAAACCCCTTGTTTTCTGTCTGCATTATATCACCGAATGTCGAGAGAAAAATAATGCAAACTAACTGTGTGAGAAAAACGGGTGCGGTCTT